GGGCAACAAGTTGGCAAGTTCCTTTTCCAAAAAAAAAACCAAGTTGGTTGAGACATGCGTTTGCATTGCCATATGATGCTCTTTATATATCTCTACTAAGTGCTTTTGAATATACAGTACTGATTTATTGATTCACTATTGATCTTGGCAGGTTAGGGACTCAGAAGTCAGTACTGGCAGATTGAAAGTTGTTTTCATGCCACGTGTTTCTCGATTATATTAGTCAAAGAAGTCAGTACTGGCAGATTGAAAAGGTATGGCGAACAATTCTCAGGCAGAACCTATCTTTAGGATTTACCATTTAAATATCAGTAGAGTAGACTGCAATCTTTTTGCCTGGGTGTTTACCAGTAACAGAGTAACAGACAAAATGGCACCGTCTTTATTCTGCACCTCACGAGAACTTTCCAACATTTGTAGGAGCACTGTGCGCAAATGTGCTACTCACAGACGGTTGCATGGTGCTAACCATATTAAGTTCCAGTTGTAAATAATTTGATTGTGGCGAACTTTACCAAACTAGCTTAATTTACTATGATGCAAAACCACTTGTTTATATGAGTGGTCACTTTCTGTTTCAGTTGTGGTGGTTGGTTTGGCTGCCAAGCTTCACTGATCTTGGCAAGTTTGAATTGCCGTCTTGTAGTGATACTTTATAGAATAGATACACGTCTATTGCACATTCTAGAAACAAAGATACCGACTTCTAATTTTAATTTTATGTGATGTTGATACTTGATACGAGCACAGTTTGTCGCACATGCCTTATTGGATTATATCGAGGAAGGTGCCGTGATGGTACACAAGTTGATCGCTCCATTGAGGAAGGTGCCATGATGGTACACAAGTTGATCGCTCCATCTAGCCACTTGGACTATAGTAGTAAGTTTCTGGCTTCAACTGCTCAATGGATGACGCTCATGCCACCCTCCATGGGATGATGCACATTATATATGCACACATTTGGTGCCTAGCATTCTTGACTTGTGCCTCATCAAGCCAACTGCTCCTGATTCCTGAAGCGGTAAAAAGAGCGAGCTTTGAGATTGGCAGCAATGGCGACGAAACCACTAGTTGGCTCTCCGCTCTCGGCCTCTCCTGCTGCTCAAAGCACCCCTGACCCTGGCCTTCCAACTGGTGTTGCTGCTCAAGGCACCCCCACCCCTGGCCCTTCCAGTGGTGGTGGTGGTACCGGTGCTGCTGCTCCAGTCCCCGACGGTGGCCCTAAAAGTGGCAGCGGTGAGTGCATATGTTTTTGCTTTCTTACTCAATTTTTCAACATTTGGTCTTTGTCATCCACAGCTGATTTTTTTACACCGAATTAACGGCACTATATTGAACAGCTATACTGTTGAACTAATTGTTGGTGGAGCTGTTTGAATGTCACGTCCTCATGGACACCTTAGGCAAACCAACTAAAAAGAGCTTTTATTCGCTAGTCAAGCTGGCTTGCCTGTTGGGTTACAGTTTGAGAGGAAACGCTAACAAGTACAGGATGCAACCAGTTAATTAAAGTTAATGCTATTCTTATGCGATCATCTTAGTTAAGTGAAGCTTTTATCATACGATTAGTAGTGAAGTTAACAGTTGTTTATTGGATGCTTGTGACTGCAGGGAATCCAATTGGGTCACCTCCCGTGTTTCACGGATAAGTTCTTGTTCTGCTTCAGATCTCCGACCTTGTCTTGTGCAAGTTTCAAACTGTAATATGTTTGTTCCCAGTTCGGTCAAGGGTTCGACCGCCCTCTTGTTCGTTAAGCATGGAGTTTGAATGTTTGATAACCACAACCTTGGTTCTTATAACTGATGTTGTTTTAAGTATGGATATATGGCTTGAATACGCACATCTGATCAATAGTATCTATGGGTCTAAAGCAGTGTAATTCAGATGCCATCGATCTGTGACATTATTCAAGTTGTATGTCGAGGTTAAACATGAGATGCGTGTGGCAAGGTCAAACACAGATATATGTTGAGGTGAAATGAAGACCTATGTGTTGCAGTGTGGAGTGCATATTCTTTCTTTTCCCTTTTCTCTCGGCTTGGGAGCTATTTACATGAAGACGGGAGAAGGAGTGGAGTATTACAACTCTGTGCCGCATCGCGTGGGTTCTGTGAAATTGGCAAACCATACAATTTTTCTTGAACTGGAACACCTTGCATTCCAAAATCACCTGGGATCGACCAAATCGGCGATCACGACATCGGTTACATCACTCGGGAGGTTAACCAACCACACATGTTGGACACCATAAACACCACGCCTACCAGGAGCTGCTAGCACATGTGCTGGCATGTTACAGACTATAGGACAGCAGGTTACATTCCAATCAATGAAAGCAAGCTGCAAGAGGAATTTGATTTCCCGAAACATAGCACCCACAGATGAACGGTCCAACATCTCGGTCGTGATTGCTTGCTGGAGCCCCAGGCAGTCCATCTCGAACGTGACCCGGCCCATTCGGCATGGAGGGCCTCACTCATATTGTCCAGCCTGCCCGCTGCTGCAAAGAGGACGTCGCCAGTATGGTCACGTGCAACACATCCCCATCCCGCTGCCTGGGTCGCGGGATCAAAAGCTCCGTCGATGTTTATTTTGACAGTGTCAACAGTAGGCTTTGTCCACCTCTGCTCCTTCTCTGTACTCGCAGTTTCCGGCTTTGCGTAGAATTGCTCCCACTCCGTGATGTGTTTGGTCGGCATGAACTGCTGTGTCCTTTCGGTCCACCACAGCCAAAGGAGGCAGATAGTTCTGAGTTTTACATCCTCTGGCACAATTTAGAAGTTACACTCCCTCCTGATGTGGACCGGCCCATTCATTCTTTTTTCTGTGTATTTTACAAACGACGCACACACACACCCGCGGTAGGCCGACCCATTCATTTTTTTTCTATTTTTAAAACCGGCTAAAACATGTGCCCTGCAGGATTCGAACCACACTCCTTCAGGATATAGCACAGCCGCACTAACCAACTGGGCAACCAACCTCATGTCCTAGATACGTTTCTCTATCCTTGAAATACAGTACTGGAAAAACACAATGTTTCCTTTTTAGTATTTGAAAGGGCGCACTGTTTCCTTTTTAGTTTTCTTCTTCTCTTTCGTTTTTCCTTTTCCTTTTCTTTCTTAAATGTGCAAACTTCATAAAATATGTGATTTTTTGAAAAATGATGAATTTTCTCAAATTTGTGATATTTTTCTTCAAAATCCATGATATTTTCATTTGTTTTTCAAATTCATGAACTGTTTCCCAAATTGGCGTTTTTTAAAAACTTATGATTTTTTTTCAAAAATGATAAACTTTTTTTTCCAAATTTCTGATGAACTTTTGTCGAATTTTTGAACTCCTTTTCGAAATTAATGAACTTTTTAAATATTTTTTCAAATCAATGAACTTTCTTCGAATCCAGTGAACTTTTCGAATTGTTTTGTGAACTTTCATGAATTCCTAATTTCTTTTAGAAAAAAGTTATCTAAAAGTCAACGGTTAACTGGTTAAAAGTCAACTTGTAATTACACTCCCTCCTCTTTCTTAATGAGCGTTCTTTGCAACAATGTACAGTAGGAAATAGTGAAAAAAAACCTCGTGAGCGAGCGAGTTTTTAGGGCTTGTGAGCGAGCGAGTGGGCATGAGAGGGAGGTAGCCTATTGGGCCACAGCCCACGCTTGGATCTAGCGAGCGCCAGCTACTCCTTATGGCTCCTGAAGCGCCAAATAGGAGCTCCCGTACATGGAGTAGTATCACACAAACCGACGCACACACCCCTCCGTCCAGGCCTCACCCATTTATTTCTTCTTCTTCTTTGAAATTTTCTTATTTTTTAACTTCAAAAAATATGTGCATGAAGTATGATTTGAACTCTGAACCTCTTGGATTTCTTCTTTTTCATACATAATTTAAAATTCCAAAATTGTTGACAAATTTTAAGAAATGGTTAGGATATAAGAATACGCTCATGTTGATTGATAATGATGGAAATTGCAAATAACCGAAGCATTCAAGTTAGGAAAAAAATGCATGTTCAAAGCTGCACCCAGGTGGCCTAGTTTAGCACGCTCCTCTCAACTGGTGTTTTTTTGGACTATGGATAAATGTCACCAACTTCTTGCAGTAGAGTGTAAAGTCACTCATTTTGGAATCTCGAAAAGGTTTTATATATAGGAACAGAGGGATTACAAGGCAATGAAAATAATCGGGGCAATTTAAGTGTGTCGAGAAACGAGGTGCTTCCAAACGGACCCTTCTCGGCTACCCGAATACCCTCTGTTGAACATGGTATAGCTTTGGACATCCTTGAAATGAATCCAACTTTTGAAGGAAGGTGAGCATGCCCATGATAGGTATCCATGCCAGGTTTGAATGATTTCCGACACCATATGCAAGTTGCGACATGTCCTACCATTTATCGGTCTTTTTTCACCGGAAAAACTCCAAAAGGTGCAAAAATTGTCGAAAATCCAAACAACTTGGCATGATGCCTTGAATTGGTCACAAGGCCATGAAAAAATGGAGCAATTTCAAAATGTCGAGAAACTAGTGCTCTCAAACGGAACCTTCTAGCACGCAAACACCCTCTTTTGAACATGCTTTATTTTTTGAACACCCTTAAAATGACTCAACTTTTGCAAGTAGGTGAGCATTCCCATTGTATGCTTCAATGTCAGGTTTGAACCATTTTTGACACCGTATGCAAGTTGCGACATGTCCGACCATTTATCCGCCTTCACCGGGAAAACTTTAAAAAATGCAAAACTTATAAAAAATCCAACTTGGCATGGTGCCTTGAATTGGTCATACAAGGCCATGGAAAAAAAACTAGAGCCATTTCAAGGATGTCGAGAAACAATGTGCTCTCAGACAAAACCTTCTAGCCTATCTCGAACACCATCCGTTCAACATGGTCTATTTTTGGACATCCTTAAAATGACTCCCACTTTTGCATGCAGGTGGGCATGCCCATTATAGGCACCCATGTCATCTTTGAATGATTTCTGACACCGTATGCAAGTTACGACACGTTCGGCCATTTATCGGCCTTTTTCACCGAAAAAACTCCAGAAAATGCATAATTTGTAGAAAATGAAAACAACTTGGCATGGTGCCTTCAATTGGTCAACAAGGCCATGGATATTTTTGGAGCCATTTAACGGATGTCGAGGAATAAGGTGCTCTCAAACGGAGCCTTTTGGCCTACCCGCACCCTACGTTGAACATGGTGTTTTTTCAACATTTTTGAATGATCCCAAAATTTGCAAGCAGGTGGGCAGCCGATGGTAGATATCAATGTCAAGTTTGAAGGAAAAATAAGTATTTAAAATCATAACCTAAATAGTAAATGCCTTTTTAAAGTATTTAATAAATGTTTGAAGGAAGAAAGAATTTAAAACCGTAATTTAAAACACACACTTAAAACAGTTATTTTGGTATTCCCAAAAATATTTCAAAATTTTGGACAGGTTTCAAAAATAATAATAAATTCCAAAAATGAGAAAAATGAATTAACGGAAAAATAGAAGAAAAAGAAAAAAAATAGAAAAAGAAAATGGTCCAGGCCCAGGAGGGAGGGGTGCGACGGGCGGGCAGATCAGTAGTGTACGTCTACATACAGCTCGTACGTGCCACATACGGAGATGGTTATACCTTATGGTCAAATGACCATACTAGCCTTATACGGTTTGTGAGGGGGGCGGGCGGTGTATCGAAGCAAGGGTCTAGAAGTTAACAATGAAGGATTGTATGTTTGTTTTGAACTATAGCCCGTCCTTGCATCTACCACCAAGCCCAGACCCCCAAAAAAGTGGATCGCCCCGGGCGACTCAGGTGGATCCAATCCCCACGGCAGTCGGGGTCGCCGTCTCCTCTCTCCCTTCCCTTTGTTGCTGCTGGGCTAAGCCTAGGCGGCCGAAGGTAGTGGCGGAGGCTCCTCCCTTCCTTGTGTTAGTGGATCACACAGAACCTCCTGGCGCGTGGAGGCGTCGCCAAGACCTGCACCAGGGCGGCGCTTGCTGACTCCCGACGTTGGCTTGGGCGGCGGCAGATCTTGCCGCTTCGGTCCTCGTGGGGAACTATGGACCTGGGGCAGCGACCCTGGTAGGCGTGGCATCTGCGCCCTCGAATGGCGGCGCTCGTTGGTGGTGGATGGATGGTTGCTTGACCGCGTGGCTAGTGAGTCGTTGGTGGATTGCCTCCCCACTGCAGCCTTTCTCTCGCTGTACTTGGTGGCTTGCAGTCTCGGTCATCGGCCTTGGTGCGTTGGCGGGGGGCTAGTACAGGTGGCTTTGGACCGAGGAAACTCTGGATAGCTCGCTCATCCCAACGGTGGCG